GCCTGGCAGGTGCCTAAGTCAGAATTAAGTTGTCCTCATGGCTTTCAGGGGACACTGTTTCCTATGGGAGTGGCAAAGGGCTCCCTCTCTTTGAGACTTTGGACAAGTCCCTCAACCTCTCACAGCTGTGACTTCTTCCTCTAAGATGCAGTGATAAGAACACTGCCTCAGGCCGGGCGCAGTGGCTCACGCCTGTAATCCTAGCACTCTGGGAGGCCGAGGCGGGCGGATTGCTCGAGATCAGGAGTTCGAAACCACCCTGAGCAAGAGCGAGACCCCATCTCTACTATAAATAGAAAGAAATTAATTGGCCAACTAATATATATAGAAAAAATTAGCCGGGCATGGTGGCGCATGCCTGTAGTCCCAGCTACTCGGGAGGCTGAGGCAGGAGGATTGCTTGAGCCCAGGGGTTTGAGGTTGCTGTGAGCTAGGCTGACACCACAGCACTCTAGCCTGGGCAACAGAGTGAGACTCTGTCTCAAAAAAAAAAAAAAAAAAGAACACTGCCTCATAGGGTTCAGGCATGTGCCCAGCATGTGTGCAGTGAGTAGCCACAGTTCCAGGCGCCTGGGCTGCGGCGCTAAACCAGTGAGCAGGGCCCTGCCTCATGTCCTCTGGTGCAGGGGACAGACAGCAAGGACAGAAAGCAGTCCACAAGATGCCCCCAGCTAGTGCTGAAGGCTGCTCTGCAGTCGAGCAGGTGTTGAGGTAGAGATTGGCAGGGAAGGCTCTGGGGGCACCATGGAGAGGGTCCTCTTGCTCAGAATGCCTTGTCACCCTCTGCTGCTGGTCTTTCCTCAGGACTCCAGGGAAGCCACTGGGCCTCTTCCCTCCCTCAGACGGGCCCTGCCTGTGAGCCGCAGTCGGGAACCCAGAGTGGCAGAAGTCCAGGGTGGGATCTTGGGGAGCCGTCCTGTCCAGGCCCCCAATCCTCCGAGGTTCTCTCACCCCTCTCCTCCTGCCCACTGCTGTAGAAGGCTTTCAGCAGATCTTTGTGGAGCACCTCTTGTGCCAGGCACAGTGGATATGGTGGGAATAAGACAGGCGAGGTTTTGTGACCTCAGGGCACTTACCTTCTAGTGGGGCACGGTGATCAATGAGCCAGAAAACGAATCTTGAAGATGATTTCTTAGAGTTCTAAGTATATGGAGAAAATGACATCAGGTGATGAGGGGCCATCTTGAACATGGCAGAGCAGCTAGTTAGGGTATTGTAGGGAACCCCTCAGAAGGCAGGCAGTGGGGTGCCTGTTGCCAGCAAGAGGGTGTCAGCATGTGGGGATCTGGGCTGAAAGGTCCCAGGAGTGGACTGAGGTTGGCAACTGCAGTAGGTGCCAGAGAGAGGGAAAATCGGGTGGCGCAGGATTGAAATGCACACAGGGAATCTGGATTTTATCCCAAATGCAGTGGAAACCTTTAAAAATGTTTCCAGAGGCCGGGCGTGGTGGCTCACGCCTGTAATCCTAGCACTCTGGGAGGCCGAGGCGGGCGGATTGCTCAAGGTCAGGAGTTCAAAACCAGCCTGAGCGAGACCCCGTCTCTACCATAAAAATAGAAAGAAATTAATTGGCCAACTAATATATATATATATAAAAATCAGCCGGGCATGGTGGCTTGTGCCTGTAGTCCCAGCTACTCGGGAGGCTGAGGCAGGAGGATTGCTTGAGCCCAGGAGTTTGAGGTTGCTGTGAGCTAGGCTGACGCCACGGCACTCACTCTAGCCTAGGCAAGAAAAAAAAAAAAAAAAAAAATGTTTCCAGAAAGCAGGACCCAACCTGACCGAGGTGATGCTCGGGAGGGGACAGCAGAACCAAACCTTAGTTGACACCTGCCCCTGGCAGAGGATGAGGTTTTCTTGCTTGGGCACTATGGCGCCTATGCCCTTTTGCTGGGGAAGATGTCTTAGTTGGGTGTCAGGCTCGGGTGGGCCCTCTTCTCTTTGCTAGTTTTGAGAGGAACAGGGGAAGTGGGACGGCTGTGACTCTCACTCCTGATTGGTCATGCAGGACCCATCAGGCATGTTATGCATATGAGCTAAGAAGCTGGCTTCCTCCCACTAAGCAGGAACCTAAGGGAGAGGGCACCATGATGGCAGGAACCTGAGTCAGGATGCACAGGAAGTCGTCTTCCCGCAGTGAGCAACCAGTGCTAAGCAGAGTTGGTCTCCGAGACAAGGTAGCATCTGTCCCCAAGGCCAAGAAGTCATTACATTGAGAAGGCCTGACCTGAGAAAATGGGGGGGGGGGGTTGACCATACTGCCTGAGCACATGGGTTCTTTGATCCAGAACCACAGGTTTCTTACTCTGGCCTTTTCTTCTTGCCCCCAGAATCAGTAACAGTGACATGGAAAGAACATTAAAGTGCCCTCTAACCCCTTCTTTTAAATTTTTTTTGTTTTTTAGTCACACCACATTTCAAAATATATGATAACCTCTTAATAAATTATATGCCATTAACCACAATGGCTGCATAGCCATGACTGGATTTATTGGCATGGAAAGATGTTCACAATACATTGTTACAAAGCAGCAAGGAGAGTATCCCATTTTTATTAAATATGTGTATTCAAATATTTAAAATTGTGGAGGCCAAGTGCAGTGGCTCATGCCTGTAATCCCAGCACTTTGGGAGGCTTAGGGAAGAGGATCACTTGAGGCCAGGAGTTCAAGACAAGCCTGGGCAACATAGCAAGACTCCAAGTCTACAAAAAATTTACAGATTTGCCGAGTATAGTATCATGTTCCTGTAGTCCTAGCTACATGGGAGGCTGAGCCAGGAGGATTGCTTGAGCCCGGGATTTGGAGGGTGCAGTTAGCTATGATCGTGTCACTGCACTCCAGCCTGGGCGACAGAGCAATACTCAGTCTCAAAAAAAAAAAATTGTGAGATGAAAAATGTTAAATGTCTGAGTGGTAGGATAAAGATGGTTTACATTTTAGCTACTTTCTAATATTAACAGCTTTGTTGAGATATGAATGACATAACAAATTATACATATTTAAAGGGTATCAGTAAGTTTTAACGTATGTATGTATCCTTGAAACCATCACCTTACCTGATCTTGCTTTGTCACCCAGGCTGGAGTGTAGTGGCTTGATCATAGCTCACTGCAGCCTCGAACTCCTAGGCTCAAGGGATCCTCCCAAGTAGCTGGAACTACAGGCATATGCCACTATGCCTGGCTAATTTTTCTATTTTTTGTGGAGACGGGGTCTCACTCTTGCTCAAGCTGGTCTTAAACTCCTGGCCCCAAGCACTTCTCCCGCCTCAGTTTCCCAGAGTGCTAGAATTACAGGCACGAGCCACCATGCCTAGCTTGTTTTTTACTTTTAAGAAAGGAAAGCATATCAGCCATTGAACTGGCTGAACCAAGAGGGAAGGAGATTTGAGCCCAGTTCTGGAAGGTCTAGGCTGTGGTGAGCAGTAGCAGCCTGCAGACCTTCCTGGAACCTTGAGAGAGAATGCTGAAGACCAAAATGGACTTTAGATCCTTTGTCCCTGGACCAGCTTCTCACAGCCCCTTCCCTGGGACTCAACCGGACAGAGTAGCTGGGAGGGAGAGGGGAGGAAGCCCTGGGCTGCAGCATCCTGACTCATCCTCACTCTTCCCCAGGAGGCCTCTGCAACCTGTGCCCAGACAGGGCCAACAAGGAGCACATCCTGCAGGCAGGAGGCATCCCGCTCATCACCAACTGCCTGTCCAGTCCCAACGAGGAGACGGTACTGTCTGCTGTCACCACTCTCATATACCTGGGTTCAGCAGGCCCAGGCTGCCACCCCGAGCTGACCGCCCTGCCCGTGGTCCAGTGCATGCTGCGCTTCTCTCTCTCCACCAACACAAGGCTCCGGAACCTGGCTCAGATCTTCCTAGAGGACCTCTGTTCCCCAAGCCAGGTGGCCGAAGCCCGCAGCAGGCAGGCTCACTCTGCCCTGGGCATCCCTCTGCCGAGGACTGCAGCCCCAGAACAGTGCTGACCCAAGGAGACCCCAAGGCCCGAGAACTCGGTCCTAGTGGGGGCGCAGGAAGCAGGTGGCGCAGCTCCCTGGAGCACATTCTGCCCCAGTGGCGCCTTTTCAGCCATTTTAAAGATGAGTTTTTCTAGGACGACAGGGATTTATACTGTGTTGGAAAGGCAAGTGAAGAAGCCACCTTTTGAGACATTGAGACACATGGAGAAGGAAGTCAGAGCGGTGCCATCTTCATAGGCTGGCACTGTCAGCCAACTGGGGGTAAGGGCCCTGCCTCCTGCGCCACCCCACTGCCAGGCTCGTGCCCTCGGGCAAGAAGCAGCTGGGTCCCTGGATCCAGAGGCTTTGCAGAAGGGCACTCTCAGGAGGAGCAGCTGGGACTGAGGCTTAGGAGAGTTGCCTGGGCCTGATGAAATAAGGGACTACCACTTCTAGAAACGTCCTGGAGCAATTTGAGGGATGGAAGGAAGAAGCTTCGAGGTGAAAGGATCTGGGCCCTGGGAAGGCATCACGCCCTCCGTCTCAAGCTCTCCAGGCTGAGCAGCAGGGTCCCAGTGGATGCCCACGTGAGTGACGCCGCTGCGGCCCAGGTTAACTGTCCACAGGCCACAGTAAAGGCAGCAGCCCTTGCAGCTGCGTCTTCTCCCCTCCCACCTGAAGCCCTCCCCCTCTGCTGTCACAGTGAGGGGGAGTCCCTTCCCCTAGAAGTGTACCTCAGGCTCGTTAGGGAATCGGGGATACAGGTGAAAGAGTGATGGAGACAGAGGAAGAGATGCGACATAAAGTGTGTGTTTGCACTGGTCAACAGAAGGAGGAACGTGGGAAAAGTGGAGGCGTCCCTGCCTCCCTCCTGTGCTTCCTTAAGGTTGACCCCTCAGATGGTCAGGGAGAGGCGGGTGCTAGAGGAACAGTATCCAGGTGCGTCTGGAATGGGGCAGATTCTCAGGCCACTGGCCTAAGGAGAAAGAAGGGATGGCCGCCTCATCAGCCCCTGTCCCTTTACTTTGCCAAATAAAAGATCTCTAAAGACCAGAGAGCCAAAGTTTTTTATTAAAAGGGTCCTGACTATTTCCATGCCAGTGTGCTCCAGGAGCAGCCATCTCAGGAAAAGCCAGGTGGCCAGGCCTGTGCCAGCACAGAGGTACCAGTGTCTGCCTGCTCCGCGGTGCTGCCCCCTCACCCGGCTCTGCAGGGCCTCCCTGCTGGCCCACCTTGCCCTCCCGCTTCAGCTTCTGCCCACCGCAGGGCCCGTTCTCTCCGGCTGCGCAGCTTCCCGCTTGCTGTCTATGATCTCTCTCCAGTTGTCACTCCAGGAGAGCAGCCGCCTCCTGGTGGGGGGCAGGACAAGGTGCTGGTTGTGGCAGCAGGTGAACAAGATGTGCTCCCAGCTTGGGGTCTCCTCTTGACCTAGGACAGGAAAGGCAGCAAGCACGTAATCTGGTTATTTTTACTCGCTCTCTGTAATCCGGGCAGGCCAGATGCCTGGAGGTTGCCAAGGATAATGGATCCAACCTTGAATGGCGTCCTTGTCATCAATGAGCAGGTCCCCCAAGACCACTGTCTTGTCCCTTGTCAGGATAATTCGCTCCACAAACTGGGGCCCCAGGTGCTGCTCCACCCAGCGGTACTGTGTGGGAGACAGTCAGTAGGGCCTGATGGGACCCTGAACTCAGGAGCGGTGAGGAGGTGTGGGCGGGGTCGGAGCCCTGAGAGCCACAGGCCCACTCTCCCCGAACCCCGCTGTGAGTTTACAATCAGGACTTAGCTAATGTGCCCGGAGGCGTCAGGCAGCCGCACCTTCTCACCCACACAGTGCTCATACTTCAGCAGGGGGCTGGTGCAGATGAAGACCTCGGTGCTGCAGAGGAGGAGGCAAGTTAGCGGTGTCCGCGCGCCCTCCCGCCGCCAAGGCCCCGCCCTGGCCTCCCGGCCCGCCTTACTCTTGCATGTCATTCATCTCCCGCATGGCTTCCAGGGCCCCCGGGATGGGCTCCAAGTCTAGGAAAAAGCCCGGGGCTTCGTACACACTGGCCACCTTCTCCTGAAAGATACAGAGTTCTCGGTCCTGGCGTCGGCCTCCAGCAGATCCAGCTCCCCGAGGACTCCCCCAACAACGCTCCCGGGGGTCCTGGTCCCCAAGGCAGCTTCAGCTAGAGGGGGCACTCTCCCAACATTCCTGCCCCCGCGGGCTCGGAAACGAGCCGGGACGGTCCCCACCGCCAGGTCGGGCCGCAGGGCTCGGTACTGCTCGCGCGCCAGGAAGCCGCGGCGCTGCTCCAGCGGCACGTGCGGCTCCCCGGGGAAGCGGCGGCGGAAGCCCCGCAGGAGGCCGGCCTCGAAGTCGGCCAGCACGCCGTCCATGTCCACCAGCACGCGCACGGGCCGCGCCGCCATGGCCGCGGGGGCGCGGGGGCGCGGGGCCCGGCCGGAAGCGCGGCGAGCGCGGGGCACGGGCGCGGCGCGGGGACCCTGCGCTTCCGGAGCCGCGGGCGCGGGCGGGGCCTGCGGGCTGATTTGCATAGGGCGCCCGGGAGGCCCGGCCCCGGGACCCGTCTCTGAGCCTCCGCTTCCCCGGCATCCGGTCTGCGTCCCGTTGGCCGTCCCCTGAGAGCAGACGGGCCCGCTCGCCCGCGTTTCTGGGGGACAGGCCTTCCAGGGGCCCCACAAAGGGGGATCCAAAGTGCGGGGCAGCATTTTCTAACCCGAGCCGCGGGGCGGGCGCCACGTCTCTCCGCAGGGGCCGAACCCTGAGTCCGGGGCCGCCGGGGTCCTGCCCCTGCTCGCGGGGGCTGCACGGGGACGGGGCGCGCGGGGAGCAGAGCTCCTGCGGCTTGCAGGCTGCACCGGCCAAGGCCCGCCGGGGCGCGGGGGCGCTGCAGTTGATGTGTGGGGAAGCGAATCTGTTGAAGACGGCTGGTTCGCCTGAGTCAAGGGCCTAAGTAGGAAACGAATTCATGAACCAAAGTTGGCCTGAAACAGAGGAGCTTGTACTTCGAACCTCCGATTTTACCTGGAAAGACAACTTTGATCGAGCACAGGTAGTCAGGACGGCCCTCCTTTCTGTTCAGTCTCTGCCCCACCCCATCCCCAGAAAACGCTGAGCATTGCTAAACTTTTTTACTCCCCTTTTTATAGATTTCACGAAATTTCCTGAATACAGCGGAGTCTATTTACCAACAAACCATAAGCGCAGATTCGAGTAAGTGGCCCCTCTGGCTGCTGTTCCCCACGTGAGGACCCCACTGCTTCTGTACCACTGCAACAGAAACCTCACAAAGGGAAGCCTGCTCCTCAGGTGAGCTAATTTCAAAACGCTTAAGAGGTAGAGTCTTAGACCTGAAAAGTCAACGGTGGGGGGAAAAAATGAAATTAAATGTTAAAATATTTATTAAAAAAAAAAAGGTAGGATGGACTGTCTTTTCTCCCTCATTCACCAAGGCACTGGAATCACACAAACTGGGTGAAAGGTCCAGCTGTCTATGAATCTGCTGCTCTTGGATAACTGTTTTTTTCTTTTTTTATTAGATTTTTCTTTTCTTTTCTTTTTCTTGAGGCAGAGCCTCACGCTGTTGCCCCGGCCGTGGTGTCAGCCTAGCTCACAGCAACCTCAAACTCCTGGGCTCAAGCGATCCTCCTGCCTCAGCCTCCAGAGTAGCTGGAACTACAGGCATGTGCCACCATGCCCAGCTAATTTTTTCTGTATATTTTTAGTTGTCCAGCTAATTTATTTCTATTTTTAGTAGAGATGGGGTTCTCACTCTTGCTCAGGCTGGTCTCGAACTCCTGATCTCGAGCAATCCTCCCACCTCTGTCTCCCAGAGTGCTAGGGTTACAGGCATGAGCCACCATGCCCAGCCTTTTTTTATTAGATTTCAATTCATTCATGTAACAAGATGGGTGTTAGTAGTCCTCATCATCATTTTGAGATCAACTTTAGTTTCTAAACTCTATGTTTTCTTTTTTTCCAGCTCAAAATATTTTATATTTCACTACCAATTTTATGTAAATATGTGAAAAGGGAACAGTTCTATCTTCCCTTGCCTCAGGGACAAAGTTTTCAAAGCACCTTCTTCCCTTCTGTTTTTTTTTATGACAGAGTCTCACTCTGTTGCCCAGGCTAGAGTGCCGTGGCTGGATAATATTTTCTATATATATTTTTAGTTTGCCAGTTAATTTCTATTTTTGGCAGAGATGGGGGTCTCACTCTTGCTCAGGCTGGTTTTGAACTCCTGACCTTGAGCGATCCTCCCACGTCGGCCTCCCAGAGTGCTAGGATTACAGGCTTGAGCCACCTCGCCCAGCCTTCCCTTCTGTTCTTAAGCACTGGGTAGGTGAAACTACCCAGAGAGAGCTCTGCCTTCCCCCAAGGTCACATAGCAAGGAACTCCCTTGGGGGGACAGGGGTCTAGGGAAGGGGTCTAGATTGGCAGGAAGCCCTGCACTATCTCCTTGGAGTCCTGGGGAGACCGGGCCTTGGCTGCGTGGGAGAACTGCTCCTGGATGCTGCTCCGGTAGGTGCCCTCCATCTGCCACATCTCCCAAAGTTCCCACACCAGTAGTGCTGGCCCCACAGCCAGGAGCACGGCAGCCATGATGGTGGCTGTGATGGCCTCCTGAGACAGGGCCCTGCTGGAGCTGAGGCTGGTGGACGTATTAGTGCTCTTCCCATTGGTAGAGGGCCTAGTGGATGTTTGGATGTGTCCCCAGGCTCCACCCTAGCAGACCCAGCACCAGCAGCAGCCCCAGGCTGGGGTTCACCATGGGCTGGGTAACAGGTTCGTGGCGCCAAGGATGGGGCTTCTCAAGCACTCTGCTCCTACCGCATCTCAGGTTGGGTGTATCTGCGATGGGCACCTGGCCCAGGCATCTTTGACCTCACTCAGGTTCCTGGTCTGGGTCCCACACTCAAACACTTGGTCCCTTGACCCTGTTTTCTAACTGAAAAATTGAACCACCTTTTAACAAACATGCTTACATAGAATTTCCTAAAATCTGTTGACAGTACTAAAATGGTTAAACTGTCCTTCGGAACACCTTTCATTTTGATTAGGCACTTATCTTCATAGAAGGAAAAAAGTAAAGCCAAATTGAAAGTTGTGACAAGGCAGGGACGTTTCTTTTCCAGAAGCCCCACCCTTACCAACAGAGGCTGAGAAAGGTGTAGGTTCTCCACCTTGTTGGATTCATAGTAGAAACCATAACACAGGCCAGTGAACCCCACGTTAGTATGTGTAAGGCTTTCATTACATTGGAAGGGTCCTATGTCCAGCTGTTGATTCTCCACTCTGCAAATGCTTTATAAACACAGTAAGGGAAGAAAACGTAATACCTCACAACCTATAAATCCCCTATTCTTTCTAAAGAAAAGCTCTCAATTTTTCAAAGTTTAAATTTAGTTCAAAGTTCTCACTTTGTAAGTTAGGAAATTGAGGCCCAAGTGACAAGCCGCAGCTAGCTGGTCAGTAGCTCAGACACACCTAAAGCCAGGTCTTCACAGATTTGGACACTGAATGTGGTTTTTTTTTTGAGACAGAGTCTTGCTTTGTTGCCCAGGCTAGAGTGAGTGCCGTGGCGTCAGCCTAGCTCACAGCAACCTCAAACTCCTGGGCTCAAGTGATCTTCCTGCCTCAGCCTCCCGAGTAGCTGGGACTACAGGCATGCGCCACCATGCCCGGCTAATTTTTTGTATATATTTTTAGTTGGCCAATTAATTTCTTTCTATTTATAGTAGAGACGGGGTCTCGATCTTGCTCAGGCTGGTTTTGAACTCCTGACCTCGAGCAATCTGCCCACCTTAGTCTCCCAGAGTGCTAGGATTAGAGGTGTGAGCCACCGCACCCCGCCTGAATGTGCATTGTTGACCTGCAACTTTCTGCCTAGAACTCAGACCTTTCTCCAGTCTTCTGGTTCCCACATCACTTGAGGGGACTCAGAGGTCCTCACCCCCATCTACTTATGTGGACTCTTCCTTTCTTGCCCTCTTCTTCAACCTCACCATTGAGACAGACCTCACCAGTATGGAGAAGACTTAAAATTTAAAATGTTACTGTCCAGCACAAAGGGTAGATGGTAGAAAAGTCTATCTTCTTTAGAGAGAAACCCACTTCCCTGGTCTTCTTCATTCGTCCCTTTTAACTTTAAATGACTCATCAAATCATTCAGCAAGAGTTGTAGTAACAAAGGAAAGAAAGCACCTAAAAAGCAGAGAATGTTGAAACAATCTCAAAAAGATGACACAGGACACAATGTTTCAAAATGTGGATATTGTTTACTTGAAGCAACAGTCCAGGATTGTGAAGTACAACACACATTTTAAGGATGAGGCTTTCGTTTCACGGTCAAGCACCAGCGTCATGCACATAGCGTCGTTATTTAATAGCAATGCCCCTGTGGGGTCCATTCCCGGACGAAGACCCGCTTCGGTGACGGCCTCCCTCGCTTGCTCCACGGCTTTCAGTCGCAGCCAGTCTGATTGCGCGTCCGAGCCTTCCTCTGCGTGAGAGCAGCGGGCTGTGCTCGCCAGCCAGCCGGGCACATTAGTATCTGATTTCTGAAGGTTAAAAAATAAAAGGCAGTTTCTCTGCTCTGCAGGCAGCAAGGCATGAGGCACAGGCCTCTTTATTGTTCCGTTTGGCACAGTAAGATGCTTTTAGCAAAGGGCACTGGCAAGTTAGGGAACACCAAGGAGAAGGCTCTGCGTGAGACAGCCTTGTGCGTCGGGGCCTGACAGGTGGTGCCTGTGGACTGTTTATGGTCTGTCCAATCAAGGCTTGGTAAACCCAAGTAACGTGTTAAAAACCTCAGTACAAAAGATCCTCTAACACATTTGGAACCCAATTATTTGTTCTTAAACACACGGTACTAAGTGTCACAAAGCTTTCCCTCCAATCTACTACTAGAAAACACTCATGCCATGGTCCACAGACCCAGAGGAGTCAGGACAGATAAAGAGAAACCTGTTCTTCAAAAAGAAGAGGGGAAAAAAAACCAGCAGTACATAAAGTGCTTCTTTTTTAATGAAACAAATCCAAAAGATGTACAGTCAGGCTCAAGTTGTGCAGTTCACAAGCATAGAGGAAACAAACAAACAAAACGACAGAGTTCAGAACAGTCGGAGTTAACCCAAGACGAGGCTGGACTTGCCGCCAGGGGGATTTCTTCTGGATGGCACCGGGGCCGGGGCCACCGGGCTGGGCACTGGAGCAGCGGGCACAGGCTTCTCGTCACTCTGCCCCAGGCTGGCTTGCAAGTCTGTGTCCACATTTTCTAGGAAAACAGAATGGAAATGGTGCTAATAATTACAGATATTTCCTGTTAAGAGTAAGTCTAAATTTTTTCTTTTTGGTTAGAGGACGGTGGGAAACATATCTAATAGTACAGAAAAAACAACAGTTACCACACTCCTACCACCCAGAATTAACTACTGTTCATGTTTTGCCATATTTGTTCCATGTTCTCTTCTAAATGACACAAATATATCAAGACACAAGATTTTAAATATGAACATTACGGGGGCCGGGCGCGGTGGCTCACGCCTGTAATCCTAGCACTCTGGGAGGCTGAGGCGGGCGGATTGCTCGAGGTCAGGAGTTCAAAACCAGCCTGAGCAAGATCGAGACCCCGTCTCTACTATAAATAGAAAGAAATTAATTGGCCAACTAATATATATAGAAAATTAGCTGGGCATGGTGGCACATGCCTGTAGTCCCAGCTACTCGGGAGGCTGAGGCAGAAGGATCGCTTGAGCCCAGGAGTTTGAGGTTGCTGTGAGCTAGGCTGACACCACGGCACTCACTCTAGCCTGGTCAACAAGCGAGACTCTGTCTCAAAAAAAAAAAAAAGAACATTACGGGGAACGATAGGACCCCCCCATCCACCTCCAGGTGGCTCTCGCTCGCCCTGTTCCCAGAGGTCCTCCTATAAGCTGTGTGTATCCTTCCAGCCCATGTCTGCCTCATGGACATGTATGTGCAGCCACAGACAGCATATAATATTATTTTGGTTACATTTAACATAAATGGTATCAACTTCGTTTTTTCCACTCTTTTGGAAATTTATCCATATTTATACACAGGGTCATAATTCACCTTAATTGCTTTATGGTATTTTACCATATGATACAGTCTATTTGTCCAATCCTCTGATGGCAAAAACTAGAACCCAACCATTCTAAACAAAGCTGTAACGCATATATGCTGGCATGTGTGCACACGGGGACACATCCAAGGCTGTCTTCAGTGTGAAGAGACAGCACACAATGTCCTGCCAAGTGCTGCCACACAACAGTGTGTATGGATATCCTTTCTTTATATCTTTGCCACCACTTGATAACCGCCTCATTTCAATATTTGCCAAACTGATGGGTGAAAAATGTTATTTCATTCCTGTTTCCTGTTGCATTTCCATGATTACTTCGATGAGGTGGTTTTTTTGTTTTTTTTCCACACAGATATCCAATTGCCCTGATGTTACTAGAGTCCAGCTTTCCCCTACTGAATTGGCTTAACTTCTCCATTAATCAGGTCATTCCTATTTAAACTAACTGGGCACTTCCCACGTTAACGTCATAGGCATTATTGTATTATCATTAATATCCTAAATATCGCTTGATTGAGTCACTGATTTGTGAAGTTTCCAACAAACATATTTTAAAATAAATTGTTTCTTATTATCGGGTAGTTTCCCAACCTATAAATATCACTGATTCAAAGTTAGAATGATTGTAAAAAAAACCCTCTATTTTCTGTGACAGGAAATTTTTACTAACAGTTTAATCCTTTAAGGCATGTTAGACTTATTTTTAGTTTTTATAAAATGGCTGGTTCATTTCAGTGTTAAGCCCATGAATTAAATTGAGTTGCATATTCTAAGTATATAGATATTTTTAAAAGATGTTCTATAGAAGCCCTGTTTTGATAGAATTACCCTGAAAGAGATAAAAATTTCCTGTATTAGATCTAGTATATATAGGTAATGCCTGCAGTTGCACAACTGAGACAAGTGTTAATACTTATCTGCTTGGCCAAATTTACTAGAGACTTATGATGGAATTATAATGAAATTCAAAGTCAGCACTTCTATCCAATAGAACTACTCTTACATCAATATTCAATATCTGTGCTGTTCAACACAATAGCCACTAGCCACATGTGGCTATGGAACACTTGAAATGTGCCAAGTGCAACTGAATTTTTATTTATTATTTATTTTTTGAGACAGGGTTTCAAATCTGTTGCCTGGACTAGATAGAATGCAGTGGATGCCATCATAGCTCACAGCAACCTCAAACTCTTGGGCTCAAGCGATCCTGCCTCAGCCTCCTGAATAGCTAGGACTGCCGGCACATGCTACCACACCTGGCTAATTTTTCCATTTTTTTTGTAGAGAAGGGGTCTTGGTCTGTTGCCCAGGCTGGTCTTCAGCTCCTGGCTTCAAGTGATCCTCCTACCTCCCAAAGTGCTAGGATTACAGGTGTGAACTACTGCAAATAGTCTGCAAACAGCTTTGCTTTTTTTTTTTGAGACAGAGTCTCACTCTGTTGCCCGGGCTAGAGTGCTGTGGCATCAGCCTGGCTCACAGCAACCTCAAACTCCTGGGCTCAAGCAATCCTTCTGCCTCAGCCTCCCGAGTAGCTGGGACTACAGGCATGAGCCACCATGTCTAGCTAATTTTTTCTATGTATTTTTAGTTGGCCAATTAATTTCTTTCTATTTATAGTAGTGATGGGGTCTCACTCTTGCTCAGGGTGGTCTCAAACTCCTGACCTTGAGGGATCCTCCTGCCTGGGCCTCCCAGAGTGCTAGGATTACAGGCGTGAGCCACCGTGCCGCAACCGCTTTAACATTTCATTTTATGGGCCAGACGTGGCCCTCACTCTAGCCAGGGCGATAGAGTGAGACGCTGTCTCAAAAAAAAAAAAAAAAAAAAAAATTGCTCTTCAGATGAATCAAGCTCAATCCCACTAATCTTACATTTGTCTTACATTATTAATGTAACTGTTTTGTTTTTCACAAATAGACAACAACACACCAAAAAAGAAAAGAAGGGAAAGAAGCACCCATAACACTAAACAAGCAGCAGCAGGCCTTAATTTAATATTTGTCGGGTTAGAAATACCCTGACCAGAGAAAGGGGAGGTTTGTTTGTTACTAGTCTGTAATGAGATAAGTACAGGAATTGGAAGTGTTTAGAAACTTTTATAGCAATTTGACAGAGAAAGCTTTTGTCTGTTGAATATAATTTTTTGAAAAAAGGAATTTAAATGAAAATACTTCATAAAACTATACAGTTTATATATTCCTGACTTGTCTTTCTTTTTTGGCACATCAATAAGGTAACTGAACAAAGACATCTCTGTCTGAATAGAAAAAAAATGATTCATTGTAAGGATCAAAGCATCAGAACAGGAAGAAACGTAACCAACCATTCAACTTGCCTGAAGGCAAGGAAAGACTCCTGCCTCGACTCCGAGACTCCGAAGGAAGCTTCTCCTCCTGTCTAGAAGATTCCCTGGGACACCAACTCCAGAGTCCTCCCATAGCCACTCCCGTGTTTAATCTCTCAAAAGGCCAAGGCAATTTCCCTTATATCTAAACAAAATCTGTCTTATTTAAACTGATTCGAGTATCCTCCTTTGAAGTAAACTTTGCAACAGAATTGGAGTTGACCTTTCACCCCCCTAGATGTGTACCATGAATTACTGTGCCCCTTGACATTTTATGACAAATGAGCTAAAAGTTGTAGCAGTCAGGAACACAAAGTAATCAGGTGACAAAACTGAAGAAGAAAAAAACCAAGCAACCACTAAAAAATCAAAGGAAGGAAAGACTTGTCATAGCAAATAATTCAGTGTGCTATTTACCTGAAGAATCTCTAACAAACTGAATGGGCAGGGAGGGGAGGGCAGGGGATGGGGGGGGGCAGGAGGTCCAGCGAAGGGAATTATTAATTATTCGGTAGGACTAATGACACATTGTCCACAACTTCATCAGGGCTCTTGAGCACTTTTCTAGGCTCCCTAATTATACTCATTGGCCAAAATCAGTGAATAAAGATTAGCTGATTCTTACTAAATAAGGCCTGACAGTAAAAAGCATTCATAATATGAAAAGCAGTAGGATCAATGATGTAGCTGACGCCTATGGTCCCAGTAACTCAGGACACTGAGGTGAGAAAAATGCTGAAGGCCAGGAGGTGGAGACCAGCCTGGGCAATATAACAAGACTCCGTCTTTCTTTTTCTTTTATTAGACAGGGTCTTGCTCTGTTGCCAAGGCTAGAGTATAGCAGGAGGATCATAGCTCACTGCAAACTCAAACTCCTGGGCTCAAGCAATCCTGGTTCACTGTAAGAATGAACAAGTAGCTGGGACTACAGGTGTATGTCACATCTGGTTAATTTGTTTTTTTGTAGAGATGAGGTCTTACTATGTTGCCAAGGCTGGTCTTGAACTCCTGGCCCCAAGCAATCCTCCCGCCTTGGCCTCCCAATGTGCTGGGATTATGGGTATGAGCCACTGAGCCCAGCCCATAGTGAGAGACTCCGTCTCTTAAAAAAGAAAAGCCTAGAAGACTCTGCCTCCAGAACAGTCTTTTTAAGTGGCGCAAAATGGACACAACCAGTAACTGACACATCTTCAGTCCAATGAAAAAGGTCCTATAAGGAAGAACCCAGGCAGTGTTTACAAAGGCTCAGGCTTGTCCTCCCACCGAGCCCCATCAACCAGTACTTTTTGAGAGGGCAGAAGAGGAATTTGGTTCGTCAACATTTCTGTTTCCTGGTGAAAATGGCGCCATGAAGTGCAATGGCAGGAAAAGGCTAAGCGCAAGCAGCGTCTTCCTTGTGGACCTAAGGGCCTGTGACTGCTGCACTTCACCGCACCCTGCCTGACACTCCCAAACCCGCATCACACTCATCAGCAATTCTCCAGCACTTGTTAAAGAAGTGCCAATAAATACTTCAAAGATTTGAATTAATTATATCAACAATCACAGCTCGTTTCTACCTATAATTGGCAATGCCCCACCCCAAATCACCATTTACAAAATCACCAGGCGGGTAACCAATGTGTTGCTGAATAAGCACCTCAGTATAAAATCAAATGAACTTTGTAAATTGAATGCTGTGAGCTGAGCATGAAATGCCAGAGCCTCTTATTACAAAGTAAAAAGCTCTCATTAAGTGTAATAAATACCGACCTAACGTGTATATTTGTGAAGGGCTCTTGGTGTCCTTTCTAGCACATTTCTAGCACTCATCCCATTACTGGCAGATTATAATGTGGCTGTGTTTGCTAACTTCCTAGTTTCATTTTCCTTTCCTCTCCACCCAGAGTATGTTGGCACTTGGAGCATGGCCAGGCTTTACTCCTGTCTCTTTCCCTAAGACATGATCTGAATCAAAATTCAGATCTGTCCTAAAACCACTTACAGGGCCAGAAATTCAGTCTTTAGAAGTACTCACCATGAATGTCACCTTCTCCCTGGAAGAGAAAAAAAAAATTTAACTTACTTCCTATTTTAATTTTGGAACACACAAACAAAACAGCCATAGTTCACAGCAGCTAACATCTATATGAAACCAAATGTGAAATTTCCTTCTTAATGCAATCAAGTACAGGGTTGGTCTGCAACCTTTATTTAACTTGGGACAATGCTACAGAAAAATTCTGCATGATAAATTGCCTCAATGCCAGTAACACCTAAAACACCAAAAGAAAAAACCATCTACTTTGATGACCTAATACCAATTAGCATTTCAGGGGATCTTTTATCAGAATGGAAAATAGGTAAATCTATCCTTTCGCCCCTCAGTCAATGTGCTCTGAGATAAACTAGTCAGGAGGACTTCCTACCAGACAAGGTCTTTCCAGACTCAAACCCTGGGGCTTGGTGGCAGTACTCATCTGCAGACACACCCAGCAGTCACGCCAACACTACAGTCTCCTGGAGTTCAACTCAAAGCAACATTTGCAAACTAAAACAGTCCTTGAACTCAGGAAGACTACAGTGTATGAGATACACAGGAAGTGAGTGTGATCTAGAAGTTCCAAAAACCAATACTGAAGGATGAAACACTAATCCCAATAGTAAAAGAGACATGTGAACAGATCTAGATCAATGCTAACTCACTTTTCTGACTTATCAATCTTCCATCCCCAACATGGCCCAGTCCCTTTCCTAATTACCTCTATGTTAAACTCCAGTGGCAGAACTGAAACTCTTAAGTAAAAAATAGGAAATTTAATTTCAGAATCATATTGACCTCAAAGCCTTTCCTTCCTCATGTCACACTGACCTTCAGATCTAAGAAGTCTCCAGAGTTTGCTTCAGAAGAGTTCCTTCTCTGCGGCCCAGATGACTCCAAGTCTTCTCTGCCACCACTAGACTTGGCACCTAAAATTTAAATACAGTAGAAAGATCTAAAGCAAAACACTTTTTTAGCAACTGACATTATGTGTTCATCTCATATGACAAAATGAGGAAACAGTCTTAAGGAAGTTAAGCTGAGAGACCCCAAAACCCAATCTGACTTCAGTCCTTATTCTGACCCATCCCCACAGACTCCCGGTGTTTCCCACTTCTTTCCTCGCATGCTAAGCTTGAACCCTGGTTTGTTTCATTGACATTAAGCTAGATTTTGCTCGTCTGTACAAAACCAGCTGTGGTTGTTGGTGCTGCGTCCATGTCTTTGACACTGACCACAGAGGAAACCAGTACCTGCCGATTTGGCCCAAGACGGGGGATTTTCTTCAGGTGTCCCGAAGATGTTAGAGGCCATTTTGTTCTTCCTCACAGGTTGTTCTGTTGGTTCATCAAAGCCTAATGAAAAATTGGATCCACCACCTGGAGGCCGCAAAACCCTAGAAATAATGGCAAAACACCAATTTCAGAGCATACCAAAATATTTCTTGGCATATATATTTTCAAACACCTTTCTTTTCATTTCCCTCACTCCCCATAAATGAGGGCAGCTAATGGGAAAGAATTTATACCATCATGGTATAAATTCAACGCTGGATTTGATTTTTTGTTTTTAAGACAGAGTCTCACTTTATTGCCCGGGCTAGAGTGCCATGGCATCAGCTTAGCTCACAGCAACTCCTGGGCTCAAGCAATCCTTTTGCCTCAGCCTCCGGAGCAATAGAGTTTGGCTTGGCCCAACAGCCTTGGGCAATAGAGCAAGGCTCTGTCTCAAAAAAAGAAAAAGAAAGGTACATTTTTAAGTTGCTAAAAATAGAGGTCTTTCTAGTTTATTGATATCTAGGTATAAATTACAATGCAGATAGACAACAGAGTCTGTATGAAATGAATCCTTGGAAATTTGATGAGATCTGCTTTATGGCCTAATATGCAGTCAATTCTGTAAATCTCAAACTCCTGGCCTCAAGCGATCTTCCCAGCTCAGTCTCCAGAGCAGCTGGGACTAAGGTGTGAGTCAATTAGCCTGCCTTAAATTCTGTAAATTTTCTGTGTGCTTGAAAAGAATGTATATTTGCCACTGTTCACCACGTAGGTACCAGACCCAAGCTTGTCAACTGAGTTGTTCAAATCTTCTGATTTTTAAGTATGTTTTATCACTTACTAAGAGAATCTATTAACAATTTCTACTCCCGTGGTAGGTCTGTCAATTTCTCCTCAGAATTTTGTCAAGATAAGGAAGGAGTTCTCCCTCAAAACACTGTGGTATATTTTAGATCAGTAGGGAAAATTGCATAGGGTCAACTTGCTGGCCATTTTGATTAAACAAATAAAATATATATTCCTGCATCACTTCTTTTACCCAGACAAATCCTAACTAGGTCAAATATTGGAATTTAAAGAATAAAAAACTACTGGAAAAACATATGTATATGGTCCTAGTGTTAAAGGACTAAAAAGCACAAGATGAAAGCCAGAAATGACGAAAAGTTCGACAGATGAAACATGGCAAAACTACATGCTAATATCACTAGTATACAAGCAATGCTCTTAAAAATAATTAAAAGGGCTCTCTGTGGTGGCTCACTATAATCCCGGCACTTTGGGAGGATCACTTGAGGCCAGGAGTTCAAGATCAGCTTGGACAGCATAGCAAGACCCTACAAAATATTAAAAAATGAGCTGGGCATGGTAGCACAAGCCTGTGGTCCCAGCTACTAGAGAGGCTGAGGTGGGAGAATCCCTTTAGCCCAGGTGTTCGAGGTTGCTGTGAGCTATGATTGCAGCACTACACTCTAGTCTAGGTGACAGGCTCAAAATAAATAAATAATATGGATAGCCTCTCAACGTTAAAAATTCAATCTTACTAGCAAACATACAATTTAAAATAAATGATATATTATTTGCTTATTAGACTGGGAAAGATGAGAAAATGCCAACTCCCAGCATTACTGAGAGTATAAATTTGTACAGACTTTCTAGAGGACATTTTGATAATATGTGTCAAAAGTTCAAATTTGCATTTTATCTGAACCAGCATTTCTACTTCCAGAAATTTATACATAACCAGACATATACACAAGGAAACTCCTAAATGTTAATCTGTAAAAAAAAATTGGAAATACCCCAACCTTCCATTAATAGGGTTAGTAGGGGGTTGGTTAACAAAGTATGTCCTTAACTACAAAACTATATATACTGTAGAGTAAGATTTACTTTTATTAGTGGATATTAAAAGTTACCCAACACACAGCAAATGAAGAACGTTAGAAGGCAAATATGAGCCCAATTACATGCCATATAAAGTTATGTATGTGGAGACACAGCTGTGTGACCTAGGGTTAAGCTGCTTAACTTCTCTATTCCTTGGTTTTCTCCTCTATAAAACAGGAATAGTATCTGCCTTGTAAGACCATTTATTATAAGGATATCGTATATCCTGTGCTTAGAAAGTACCTGGGATATGTCGATCATTCATATTAACTATTATTATAAGCATAACTAGCCATAAATGTCACCACAATTGTTATCCAGGGTTCCCTCTCACAGATGGGATTTCAGGTGAATTTTAATGTCTTTTTTTAATACATCAAAGTTCTCTGTATTGTTATTAATCTAAATTCGTTTAAAGACTGCTTCTGGGCCGGGCGCGGTGGCTCACGCCTGTAATTCCTAGCACTCTGGGAGGCCAAGGCAGGCAGATTGCTCAAGGTCAGGAGTTCCAAACCAGCCTGAGCAAGAGCTAGACCCCGTCTCTACTATAAATAGAAATTAATTGGCCAACTAATATATATAGAGAGAAAAAATTAGCCAGGAATGGTAGCGCATGCCTGTAGTCCCAGCTACTTGGGAGGCTGAGGCAGGAGGAATGCTTGAGCCCAGGAGTTTGAGGTTGCTGTGAGCTAGGCTGACGCCACGGCACTCACTCTAGCCTGGGCAACAAAGTGAGACTGTCTCAAAAAATAAATAAATAAATAAAGACTGCTTCTGGGTTCCAGAATTTTCTTTTGATAATACTACTTTTCCCACTGTCCATTATAAGTGAATGTGATCACTTGTTTATCTGTGAGTACCTATGTCTACTCTAGCTCTCTCGACAGAAATCTTGGCTCCTGGCTTCCCTTGAGTGTAGGCTGGTACCCTGGCCTCAGCACCCCAACACTGCCCCCTATAGCACTCATAGTGACCCCCACCCGGCCTTGTGTCCTTTCCTGAGAGTTCCACCGTTCAGCAGAGGCAAAGTCTAGTCAGGCAGGAATGAAGGAAATCTGACAAACTGCCTACTATAGATATGGCATCCTCTCAAACATATCAAGATATCAAAATGGTTTCAAGATAGTTCTTAGCATTATCTTTTTTTTTTTAAGAGATGGGGTCTTGCTATGCTGCCCAGGCTGGCCTCAAGCTATCCTCCTACCTCAGCCTCCATGTCCAGCTAAAGGCCACCTTCTTCACTTTCTGCAAATAGTTCTGATTGTCTCCATCTCAGAGTTTTTACTGGCACATTTCTTCTTGCCTAGAGCACTATTCTTGCCTCAGTGCCTACTCAAGACCCAGTCCACCACTTAAACCTCTACCTCCTCCAGGAAAAAGTCTGGTAATCCTCCGTGATCTCAAAGAATAACAGCGAGAATACCAGAGAGAAAATGGATATTTGAGATCCTCTTCTTTGGGAGTCACCAACTCTTTCTGTAAAGGGCCAAATAGTAAACACCTTTGGCTTTGTGGACCAGGTCTTTCTGAACAGTAATTCACTGCCATGTTGCCCAAAGGCCACCACAGGCAATATGAAAACAAGTGTGGCACTGTTCCAACAAAACCTTACTTATGAGCCCAGTGAGGTGGCTCACGCCTATCTATAATTCTAGCACTTTGGGAGGCTGAGATGGGAGGACTGCTTGAGCTCAGGAGTTTGAGGTTACAATGAGTTATGATGACACCACTGCACTCAAGCCTGGGTGACAGAGCAAGACCCTGTCCAAAAAATAAACAAACAAAAGGCTGGGCGCAGTGGCTCACGCCTGTAATCCTAGCACTCTGGGAGGCAAAGGCGGGCAGATTGCTCGAGGTCAGGAGTTCCAAACAAGCCTGAGCAAGAGTGAGACCCCGTCTCTACTATAAATAGAAAGAAATTAATTGGCCAACTAAAAATATATAGAAAAAGTTAACCGAAGCCGGGCGCGGTGGCTCACGCCTGTAATCCTAGCACTCTGGGAGGCTGAGGCGGGCGGATTGCTCAAGGTCAGGAGTTCGAAACCGAGACCCTGTCTCTACTATAAATAGAAAGAAATTAATTGGCCAACTAATATATATATAAAATTAGCCGGGCATGGTGGCGCATGCCTGTAGTCCCAGCTACTTGGGAGGCTGAGGCAGGAGGATCGCTTGAGCCCAGGAGTTTGAGCTGTGAGCTAGGCTGACGCCACGGCACTCACTCTAGCCTGGGCAACAAGCGAGACTCTGTCTCAAAAAAAAAAAAAAAAAGATAAATAAACAAACAAAAAACTTTATAATAGACACTGAAATTTGATTTTTATGTAATTTTCATAAGTTATGAAATATTGTTTTCCTCAACCATGCACCTGGCAGGCACATAACAAGTTCTCAAAGTGATTAAATGGGAGAACCATACAGCATTTTTGTCTTTAAACTACAAATCTGTAGAGTTGGTGCTTTAATTAAAGTTTCCTTGTTTTCTAACCATGAACTGTCTTATATTTCTTAGGCAGTCCCTCTGGCTTCCTCCCTTAAATGTAATATTAGTTTCTGTCTGTAGTAAAATGCAATATTCAATCCACAATAAGATTTCTTTTTTTTTTTTTTTTTTACAGAGTCTCACTCTGTTGCTGGGGCAAGCGCCATGGTGTCAGCCTAGCTCACAGCAACCTCAAACTCTTGGGCTCAAGCGATCCTCCTGCCTCAGCCTCCCAAGCAGCTAGGACTATAGGCATACACTACCATACCCTGTTAATTTTTCTATTTTTAGTAGAGATGGGGTCTCACTCTTGCTCAGGCTGGTCTTGAACTTCTGAGCTCAAGCGATCCTCCAGCCTTGGCCTCCCAAAGTGCTAGGATTAAAGGCGTGAGCCACCGTGCCAGCCAGTAAAAGGGCCAGTAAAGATTTCATTATTCCTGACCGGGCGCAGTGGCTCACACCTGTAATCCTAGCACTCTGGGAGGCTGTGGTGGGTGGATCGCTTAAGGTTAGGAGTTTGAAACCAGCCTGAGCAAGTGCAAGACCCTGTCTCTACTAAAAATAAAAAGAAATTAATTGGCCAACTAAAAATATATAGAAAAAATTAGCCGGGCATAGTGGCACATGCCTGTAGTCCCAGCTACTTGGGAGGCTGAGGCAGAAGGATTGCTTGAGCCTAGGAGTTTGAGGTTGCTGTGAGCTAGGCTCACAGCACTCACTCGTGCCACAGCACTCACTCTAGCCTGGGCAACAAAATGAGACTCTGTCTCAAAAAAAAAAAGATTTCATTATTCCTCCCAGCCTCAGGGGGAAAACCACACTGCATTCTTTATAACATGTTAAACATTCAAAACCCAACTGTTTAAAAAAAAAGTCTCAGATATTAGATATATTAAATTAATTACATGAATTAAGATAAATGTGTATAGGCATAGATTTTATTAAGATGATAATTTTAGGTTTAATTGTTTAAATCACAATTAAATTCTTAATAGGCTTTCTCATGTTAAAGTTTGAAGCCATTAGGTTTTTATCACCTGTGCCCCAAATCAACAAAGACACTTTACAGATTATAATCTAAATTAACTTGCTTCATTGTCATCTTCTTCATTCCCTAGAGATTAGAATGATTTCCTTTACTAATCATAATTAAAACCTCATTAATTATTTTGGCCAGATGAAAACCTTCAGAACCCTAGTAGGGTCAAAGTATTTTTAGCCTTGAAAAAACAAAAAGAAACAATAAGACACTAGTACCCAAACACCAACTTAAAAGCAAGTCAGAGCTCTGACCAGTCCAACTTTTTAAAGGTCTGTGTTCCTCTTGCAATAGCAGGTAATAACCTACTCCGATGACGTCAGTGTTATAGAGACCATTTGTAATAGGGAGACATCCCCAAACAAAGGATTTGGATCATAAGACAGAAAGTATTCCAATTTTATTTTTTAAAGATCCTACTATTCTTTCTGAACCACACACGCTAACTAAATCAGGATTGCATATTTAAAACTCAACAAAAAATGTGCCTATGTACTGTAGATAGCAATTTTTTAGAAACTAATCCTTTTCTTTCTTCTCTCTTTAAATCCCAGAATGTCCATATGATCTTTGTAGATTATTCCCTACCAGACTAAATTTATAACGAGTTTATGGAACCAGGAGAATGCTACTGGAGAAAAGTAGTTGATGAGAATTAGGTTTAATTACAGAAAAAGGAAATGTGAGAAGTAAATAAAATGACAATGCTATTACATTTCTAGATCACAATGTTGGAGGAAAATTGATAACAAAGGTGAATTACAACCTTTTTGGCAGGACCAAAAATCATTTGTCTCACATTTCAAATACAAATATGAAAAAACTAGTGTGAGGATTCATTTGACCTGGTTACTAAAATTCTTTACAAAGCACTACACTGAACTCAACCCCAAAGGATAAACCCCAGATCACACATTATCATTCCAGCAACTGAAGTCTCACCAGCAAAAAGTTGACCTCATAACACAAAATTAAAAACCAAGGCTCAATTTGTTCCAGGGTCCTCTGAAAAATTACCTCATTGGAAGGATGACAACAGAAAGGGAGTGACCCGTATTTTCTTAGGTCCATGCTACTCAAGTCCCCCTTGCTTCCAGTAACCACTAATTTCATTTTTTCAGTCTTATTCATTATTTTCTACATTGTAAAACTGAAAGAAATGAGTTCAAAAGGGATGTCATTTCCAATGCTTCCTCCTAAGACTCATTTACTGAGGCGTGCTTTTTGTTCCCAAGTTCTCTAACCCCTGTGAGATATTGCTATTTCACGTGCCTTCTTAGCCCAACAAAATGGCTCCCTTTGTGCCACTTGGCCAGGACCCCAAGGCTGGCCACACATGACTGCAGGTCATGATCAATGGAAAATAGATGCCCCAGAAAAAGTGGAATCTAAGCTTTCTCCAAGCCTTGAGGAAGATCCCAGAGATGCCTGCAACCCACCTTAAAGAACAGTGTGCAATTAGCTGAGATAATGTGGACACCTTCCATAAAACCCAAACCCTCCACCAAGTTAAGCAAGGACTTGGAAAAGGGTCCCAGTCCAAACACTGTACCCAGTGCCCCCTCCCCAAAATGTAGTGGGATCAATGGCAAGAAAGGCCTGGGTTCCCAGGTGGAGATACTACGGAAGAGACAATGGATGTCTCCGGCCCCGCCCAAGAACAGGAAACCTCCTCCAGCCAGGGAACCAGGGCCAGAGACGAACTCATTCGGCAGACGTCAAAGGGGGAAGCGAGGAAGGTGGGATGCAAAGACCGTGGTCCGAAGGTTTGAGCGCAGAAAACCCACTCGGGCTGGCTCGTTCCCCTCCCGCTTGGAGCTGGGCGCGGGGAGGGGGAGGAGAAGGGGTCTTTCCTTTGTTAGGAGAGGGGAGGCAGTTCGAAGAGGAGATGAACAGTTGGTTCCTGAACGGAGGTGAAGGGTCACGATGACCAGCCCCGCCCGACCACAAATGCACCTGCCGGGCGGGTCGCTGTAGGGCGTGGGGAGTGGTGGCCCGGCGAGGGTAGAAGCTCGCCGAACCCGATCGATCCGGTCTCGGGGTCTGATCGCTGCGCCCGAGCGTGGGGCCGGCCACATGCCCCAGGCCAGAGGCAGGAGCGCGTGGCCGGGCGGTGGGACAATGGGGTCTGAACCAAGGCGCCCTGGACGCTCCCCGGACACCTGGACGCTCCCCGGACCAAGACCACCACCCTGGGGCGGGCCAGGCTCGCCGCAGAGGGGAGAAAGCGAACCCTCCCCGCACGTTAGGATTAACGAAAACCCGCCGCGCTCCGAGGGGCGGCCGGCCCGGGCGTCCCGGTCCCTCGCGCCGTGGGAGGAATGAATGGAGAGCGGCAGGAATCCGGGCGGGGCCGCGCGCCCGACTCGCCGGGCGGCACAAAGGCAGCGCCGGCGGCAGAGCCCGCCGCCCGCCCCAGCGCGAGCGCAGCGCACGGGGCACGGTACCGCCAACGACCGGCGCCCGGCCCGCGCGGCCCCGCCGGCAGCGGCCCTCCCGGCCCCTCAGCCCCGCGCGGCTGGGGCGCGGCCCCATCGCCTCACCGGGAGCTATTCCTGCTGTTGGGGTCGACACCCTTGAAGGTGGTGGTGGTGGTCATGGCGCCGAGGAGCGAGCTGGCGCGGGAGCAGAACGCTGAAAGGGGTGGACTCAAGCGTCGCGGAGAAGCTCCACACCACACACAAGGCCACCGCTGCAGAAGCCTCCGCCACAGCCTGGCCGGTCGACCCCAGCTTTTATATGGCTCACAAACCCCGCCCCCACCCAGTCGGCATTGGCCGATTCAAATGGTTCTCTTTGTTCCTATTGGTTCCCTAGAGTGCCAAGCAACGTGCGGCGACAGCACGGGCTTCGGCGGCCGCAGCTCAGCCTAAGCCCGCCCCCTTCCTGGACAGGGAAAGTCCAGGGACGTTCTCCCCTCCCCCACCCCAAAATCTCGGAGATGATTGGACAGAAGGCGAATCTGCCTCGCGCTGGGTACAAGTTGTGCTGGCTGTCATTTAAAAAAGTTACCTGACAGAAGAAAAAACTCACGCTGGGGTAGTTAGAATCTCAGCAAACTGAGGGCAGATTTGTCATTGCTACTATTCACTCATTTGCCTTACTTATGGTGGGATAGTAAGGGCATCCTCCTTAAGGGATGAAAAGTACTGCTACAAGTTGACATTTTTTTACTGAATACCTACTGTGTGTCCCATTTGAAAACTTAACAGTCCCAAAGCAAGCACCACTATGAGTCAGCAAGAGAACACGCCAAGATGTTTCCCTTTAAACCGACTGGAAATTCTTTACATTTTAATGTTACTATTTAGCTGCAATGGGTGGTGCATGCACTGGACCAAAATTACAGTCGCTCCCATATGGGGGGGGGGCTGTTCTAAAGCCGGTTAATGCCTGGCGACAGGGAATGTCCTCTTTCCCTGCCTCCAAGACTATGAGAGCAGCACAGGCCTCTGCAGCTGTTTATAACCCTTAAGTCATGACTTTTCCACCTGTCTGGGTAAATCTATCCCTGCAACAAATGTAGGCACACTTGGAGGACTGGAGAATGATGGTTCACAAGATCATAATTGGAAAGTCTTGTGCAAACTAGTGCACAGTTGATAGATAACCCCTTATTATGTCATGCATATTTCCTCAAGGCAAATGTCTTTCCTTGTCTCAGTATTTTCATAAAGGTTGAACTACGTTCCTCCTTACATGGCCTCTGTCCAGGCAGTTGGAAGTTTGTATTCTCAGCAATCTGGTTAGCCACTCTCCCCTTGGGCATTCATGAAAAGCCAAAGAGAAGCTCTTCTCCACTAGAATGCCTGGGCCATGCATTTATGTGCTCACCACAACAGCATGAAGCACACCACTTGTTTGGGTTAGAATCTTCCGATTCTTAAAAGGCTGAGCCTAAATTTCCAAAACCTTAAAAAAAAAAAAAAATAGACCAATCTAGCCAGTGAGCACGTCCTCCTCAGAAATCACATAAATTATTGACTAGTAGGTAGTATAGTATAGTATAGTATAGTATAGTATAGTATAGTATAGTATAGTAGTTGCTAGCTCAGGCTCTGATTGATGTGAGAAATGAAATCTGTGTTTGAATCTCAACCCTTATCCTTTCTGAGCACTAGTTTCCTCATTTCTAAAATAAATATGAAATAGTAACTGGACTCCTTAGTGTTTTGAGGAATGAGTGAGGTGATAGATATAAAGTGGTTGGCCCAATATGTCATCAAAGTGACATTTTTATTACCAGACTTATTTAGAAAGTAATCATATACTTGTTTGTATGTTAAATGAGGGGACTGGACTTGACTGTTTGGACCCATTTAATTGCCCTATACATTTGAGTTTGTAGTTGTCTTCCTTCCTCTATCCCTTGCAGTCTAGTGGAAGATAGCTTGTGTGGCAATGCTGCACTAGATTAGCAGTCAAAAGGCCTAAATTCTGGTGTTGCCCTTTCCCAATGTAGAACACTGGTAGGTCATTTATGCCCTTGAGCCTCGGTTTCCTGATGTGTAAAATGGGATTAACAGCACTTATTCTGAGTTGTGAGGATTGGAATGAGATACATGCAAGAATGTCACCACATGTACTTACTATTAAACTGGAACTAATTGATCGACACTCATGTGCACATATGGTAGTAAAACTCAGTGGGAACCAAGCATGTGGGAGGGGGGGGCAGAGGGGACGGGTGCATTCACACCTAACAGGTACAATGCATGCCATCTCAGTGACGGGAACACTTGTAAGTATGACTCAAATGACACAAAATCAACTCGTGTAACCAAAATGTTTGTACCACCATAATACTCTGAAAAACAAAAACATAACAAAAAAGAATGTTGTGCATGCTAAACTAAAACTTTCTATTAGAGATGCCCCATCCTGGCTGCACATCTGAACCACCTATGAGCATTTCAGGAATACAAATGAATGCCAGATCCCACTAAGATCTACTGAATTGGAGAATTTGAGGGGCTAGGATTCAGTCATAGATATCTTTAAGAAGTTAAACAGATTATCACATATAGTTTGGGCTGACAATCTTTGCTACAAAAGTAAGAAATCAGTTCCAGGAGAACCCTTTTAATCTAATCTGTACCACTAAAGACCACTATATATAAATACATTAAATAAATAAATATCTAATCTGATGTATGCATAAGAGCAAAGCAAACTTACGTACAACAGACATCTGACTAAGGCTGTTGGCCACTGCCTCCATACCAGCATAAAAAAAAGAAAAAAATAATGAAAAAATGAAAATAAGGCTGTTGGCCTGTTTGGCATATTTATCTTAAAACTGCCAGGCAGGGAGCAGTGGCTCAATCCTAGCACTCTGGGAGGCCGAGGCAGGAGGATCATTTGAACTCAAGAGTTCAAGACCAGCCTGAGTAATAGCAAGAACCCGTTCTCTACTAAAAATAGGAAGAAATTAGCTGGACAACTATATAGAAAAAACTAGCCAGGCATGGTGGTGCATGCCTGTAGTCCCAGCTACTAGGGAGGCTGAGGCAGAAAGATCACGAGCTCCAGAGTTTGAGGTTGCTATGAACTAGGCTAATGCTATGGCACTCTAGCCTGGGCAACAGAGCGAGACTCTGTCTCAAAAAAAAAGAAAAGAAAATTGCCAGAAATTTCTACAATATCTAGCTTTCATCATTTACCTTTTCATGTACTCTAACAGTTTTGATTAAAATCACTGTATTCCACTTTTTGTGACAAGATGAACATTGGGATAAAGCAGATATGAAATATGTAACTCTGCTATAATAACCATTGCTCTAGATGACCAACTCAGTTTAAAGTGGAATAATAAAATTACATGTTGTCTGCAAAGATCAATACACATCACGATCAAAAGATGCTAGGAATGGGGGGTGGGGCAATGTGAACATTTGCTTTAAAAATAACTGAGTGCAGGGAGTGGTGGCTCAAGCCTATAATCCCCCTGTGCTTTAGGAGGCTGAGGTGGCAGGATAGTTTAACCCCAGGAGTTCGAGGTTACAGTGAGCCATGATCAGGCCACTGCACTCCAGCCCATCTCTAAGAAAATAAATGAGATCCATCATTATGATTTTGAAAAAAACATATCAAGGGTTCTATAACAATCAATATAAAAACCATTTAAGTTCTTAACCTAAAAATCTAAGGAAATATATGACAGATGAAATCTTATAAAGAATGCTCTAACAGCTATTTTATGACCTATACCAGTGTTTCTCAAACTTTCAAGAAGCAAAAACCAAATTTAGGCCCAGTGTGGTGGCTCACACCTGTAATCCTAGCACTCTGGGAGGCCGAGGGGGGCGGATTGCTCGAGGTCAGGTCGAAACCAGCCTGAGCAAGAGTGAGACCCGTCTCTACTATAAATAGAAAGAAAGTAATTGGCCAACTAATATATATAGAAAAAAATTAGCCGGGCATGGCGGCGCATGCCTGTAGTCCCAGCTACTCGGGAGGCTGAGGCAGGATTGCTTGAGCCAGGAGTTTGAGGTTGCTGTGAGTCAGGCTGATGCCACGGCACTCACTCTAGCCTAGGCAACAAAGTCAGACTCTGTCTTAAAAAAATAAAAACACTTTAAAAACACAGATAAGTCTCCACTCCCACTGCTTCAGCCCATCTCTAAGAAAACTTGACCAGCCTTTAAAAATAAAATAAAATAACAGATAAGATGAAGAGAATGAGCAGTTGCTCACCTTCCTAACTTTTCATGTCTTTAAGCAGGAAGTCCTCTTCAACTTCCCTTAGACCCATAATGCCATTTCCAGATTATATTCAAGGTATTAGTCTTCCAATTGTAATTCAGAAAGCCTAGTAATCAGCTTTCCCTAGGTTTTTATTCTCAGTATTTCCTCAGAACTTATATTATTCTGAAGCAAGTGGCAATACATCTTCACTATCTAAAAAGTGTCAGAAAATGTTTAAATATTTAAAGCCCTAATAAATTTACTTTAATATGGACAAGAATCCTGTTGTTTTTTAAAATTTGTTGCTGGGTATGTGGAGAGATTTACTCAAGAATAAATGTAGGCCGGGCGCCTTGGTTCACACCTGTAATCCTAGCACTCTGGGAGGCCTAGGCGGGAGGATCGCTCAAGGTCAGGAATTCGAAACCAGCCTGAGCAAGAGCGAGACCCCATCTCTACTATAAATACAAAGAAATTAATTGGCCAACTAATATATATAGAGATAAAATTAGCTGGGCATGGTGGTGCATGCCCGTAATCCCAGCTACTTGGGAGGCTGAGGCAGGAGGATTGCTTGAGCCCAGGAGTTTGAGGTTGCTGTGAGCTAGG